TCCTATTGTTGTGTGGTGGATTTGGAATCAGAAGTAGCAAGACGACTAATATATTTGTGATGAATATAAGTTCTTAAGAAGTTAAAAGGGTATTCATGATCTAAACAACATTTAAAAATTTTTTTGATATTATTAAATTTATCTATTTTGTGAGTAGTTAAGTTATCATTTCTAAATAAAAAATTCAAAATAACATTTCTGTAAATTGATAAATGCAAGTTACTGTTCAATACAGGAATTTTAATTATATGGAACTTAAAAGAATCTCTTTCGTCAAAAATGTTACTGACTACATTATTGTTAATAAGATGCAAATCTAAATCCAAGAATTCTACCATATTAGAGTTAAAGTTAGTTTTAAGGAGGTTGAGATAGTATATATATAAAATCCTTTATATATTCATTTAATATCATTTGCTCCAGTTTCATTTTGTTTGTCACAAAAGTTTTGCGCGAGTCTACGAATATGTTGCTCACAGCAACATATCACTCTATCTATCTTTCCAAAGAAAAATCGAAATGAAATAAAGAAAATAGTTTATGTCAGAGGGAGGGGGAAAGTATAAAAATGGGGCTCCAGTGAATCGCCAGACTAAAAGCACGTTCCAAAGATATCCATTTCCATGCTGTTGAGGGACTGGAATTTCCCTTGCTGTTTTATTGGGGTGAGAAATATTATTCCCTTTCACAACTTATTAAAGGATCCTTTCAAGAAGTATAAAACATAGCTTTGTCCAATCTGCTAAAACACGAATTCTTGATTCCCCCTGTTGTTTACTTGTGAAAGGACAAAAGTATTCTCTCTTATAGATATCTTATTCATTCGCTCTCTTTAAGCTCAAATTTAAAGTATGGGAACTCTATGTATTGAAAAAATGACTAAACAGCTCAAACGTTTGGAATATTTTTTTATTTGCTAATTAAAACTTAGGATATTTGTAACATCCTTGTAAACAAGCAATGGGAAAAAATATTTTTAAATCAATTCCTACTTAAGGTCAACAAAGAAAATTTTATTCTAGTTACTTTTTATTAAATAACTACAATGAAGATAAATACATATATACATATGACACACAATCGTAATATTGAGTGGCAAAATAGAAAGTGATTTTCCATGCAATTTTAAATTTTTGTTTCTATATAGGGTGCTGGACTATTTTTATTTTGTTTGTTACTATTTATTCATTAATTAAACTTAATTATTCAAATAAAATAGTATAGTAAACAAGAAATCACATTCTCAGAAATTAGGCCATTCCAGGTGGGATTTGAACCCACATGACCCTTGGATTAAAAGTTCAACGGGCTATCTATTGCGCTACAGGGACACAAAAAGCAATTTTCCTTTTTATATAGGGTGCTGGACTATTATTTTTGTTTATTACTATTTATTCATTAATTAAAAAAATTAATGAATTAATATTTGAGAGAGAGAGAGAGAAATAATGTATTAACATGAAGTGTCATCCACTACAAGTTTAACAAAGATGTATTTGAACTTGAATGGATAAATGGAAAGTATTTTATTAACGATTGAAAATTTGAACAAGATATATGTATATATAAGGAGATTGTGAACTAATAGAAGGAATTGAAAAAAAGTAACGATTAAAACAAATAATTAAGAAAATAAGCATAAGTAGAGAGAGAGAGAGACAAGAGTAAAAAAACCTAGACACATAAAAAATATTTTCTAATTATATTTAAATTACAATTTCACAGATTTTCTTATGCTGTAGTTATAATTATGAACATGTGTGTTAAGCAATTCGTTGGTGTTAAGCTATAGTTATGTAGAACGTATTTAGTTTGCGTTAAGTTATAGTTATGTTGAACATTTAGTTTTGCTTTAGTTTACTTATCTAAGAAAACACAATAAAAGATATTTTTAAAAATTATCCCCCGAAAATATAACCATTTTGTAAATAGGTTATTTAAGATCGTTGCTTTTTTCTTTAATTTTAAAAGATAAATTTACAATCCCGTTCTTAAAACTGAAAATTCAACTGATTGACGGATAAAAGAAAAAGATAACGCTTCACTTAAGGATTTATTTACGATTTGACCAATACAAACAGAGAGAAAAGAAATCTGAAGAAATAAAAACTGAATGGTTTGTGGACCAACAAATCTGAAATTCTTAAACTTAACTCCAGTAACAACATCACAAGAAACAAACGGGGTTCACAGTTAGGCTATAAATCATATTTTTAAAACCCTTAGAGGCCACAGTTCTGTGGTAGGACAACGGGAAGAATAAAAAGAAATGTAAAAAAATCTCTCATGTTAAAACTTGCAGAACGGTTACAAGAAAATCTCACGGGAACACTTTCGAATGTTTTTCCTATTGTTATTGTTATTATTATTTACTTAGGATTTAAAGACGCTTATTTTTTATTGCTTATCATTGTGTGTGCTCCTGAGTTTTCTAGCGATAGATAGTGAGGACATATTGGTATCGTAGAATTTAAAAGTAGAAGATTATGAAGTACCATATTTACTCGAATTTAAGCTGCACCCCAAATTCTAAAAACCATTTTTGTTAAAAATTTTTTTAAAAAAATGTGCAAAAGGTTTATTAATATCCACAATACTTAAGAAGATTTTAAAAATTCTTTTAATAAGAAATAATAAAAAGTGAATAATTAATTTATTCCACTGTCAATATTATGTCTCGAAAAGGATTCGTCACTCCCATTGTCACAGCTGATTTCTTAACTCTACACCTCCTTTTTCCACACGGCATCATCTTTCATGCCGTCCAATGCATTTGCTATACAACATTTTTTAAAAAAGAGTGTATTATAGAAAAATTTAAAATAGTTATTAAAGATTGTTGAACATTTACAAGCAAAAATTACGAGGGTTGGGGCAAAAGTCTTGGAACTATTTTTTTTTCTTGAAGATACCAGTCCAGTTGGAAAATGTGATATATACAGACGAAAGAACAAGGTGTTAACTATATGTGAGGACAATGAATAGCACTGAAATATCGTAACACACTAATTTATTACGGTAGTATATATATATGCAAAGCAATATGGCTTTCACGGTGCTAAAGAATGACAACACAGTACACATAAAGTTGACATGATAAACTGGGCCTAAAGACCCTCAATGTAGTCCCCTGCTACTGTTACCACACGCTGCCAACGATGTGGAAGGCACTGAATACCACCATCCTCCGCCTTTGCCGCATCATGTGGGAATCGGGTCACCTGTTGGCACACAGCATTAGCAATGTCCTCTCGTGTTGCAAACCACCTACCACTTATTGGCTCCGTAATCTTGGGAATAAGATCAAAGTCACAGGCCGAAATGTCGGGAGAGTACGGTGGGTGCTCCAGTTTTTCCACACACCGGTCGTCTCGAACGTTGCTCATCACTGGTTGACACACGTCCTTGCTGAAGCTTTCCTACCCATCGTGCTACTGTGCGGTATGGTAGGTATTCCCAAGGGCTTCCACTAATTCACCGTGACATTCCATCGCATTTCTCTCTCGGAGAACGGCTGTTTTGATGTAAGCTCGCTGCTCAACACGGGTTATTTCCAACTTTCACGACACTCACCAACTGACTGATTTCACAGCCCTCGCTGCGGTACTACCAGCTATCACAGAGCCGACTGTTATTCTGTATACATACTAGGCCTGCAGAACTTCCACACGACATGTATACGTTTGTGATCCGTTCACATTTATACAAGAAAAAAAAAATAGTTGCCATGATTTATGCCCCAACCCCCGTATATCATTTTGTTTACGAAGTATATTTGTTTCATCCGTGTCAAAATTTCAGGGACCGCTTCTCTTCTTCCAGTTTTTTCTTCAATACAACTGCCTCCTTTCCCCTACTTGTGCCATAGTGAATTCTTGATGCCCTTATCGATATGTTTGACGCTTAGATGATTAAGAGAAAGAGGCCAGAATGGACGATTGCATTTTTCCTTTTGAAAGGGGTGGAAATGCAATTTCCCCCAAATGTTCTGCCTTCGATTTTAAGACGCACCCAATTTTCAGAAGCACTAACACTGGAAAAATAGTGTGGCACAGATTCGATTAAATACAGTATATCATAATTTTATTGGGATAATTTAGGCTTTTCGATATTTTTCTTGTTTCTATCTCCTGCTCCTCTTTTCTTGATCGAATAATACAGTAAGAGTTTTTTAAAATCATTTCGATGTTAAAACGAAGGTGATTGAACGAAAAGATTTATTCAGCTCTCTTCAGTATAATATGAAGCAATTAGGAAACAAGATCAAGTAAGGGATCAAAAATATTTTGAAAACACTTTCTTTTAACACTTTTGTCAAGTTTGGTTGCATATAGAGCGTATGAATTTTCCAGCTAAGATCAACGCAACAATTCATCTTAGCTAAGTATTTGACTTCCAAAATGCAACAAAAATATTATTTTAAAAATTAATAAGAAAAATTTTAATTAATATTAACTTAATTATTGATAAACTTTCGTATTTATTAAGATAAGATTTTTTTTCTAAATGGTCATTTTTTCTTCTTTTCAATGTTGTGGCGTCGCCGCTGTAGGACGTTTGAATCCCTCTGCACGGTGAACTTTCAGCGGTACAAGGCTCGAGCTGTTGACACACTTTGACCACTAGGTTACCGCAGCCACGGACTTGACGGTTTACTGGCATGAGAAGTAGGTGGCTTGACGGTAGGCGGGAGCGTAAATTCCACCCTCTCAGTCGTCTTTGGAAGGTCATGTTAGGCACACAACTGAGGGCCTCAAGGTGAATAGTTGTTAACGAACCCATCCGAGGCTATGACAGCTGCTTTGTCTTCCACCGCTGATGTCGCTCTCGGTCGACCGATGCTGTTCTGACGCTGATATCTGAAGTTTTTGACCCACTCTCGTCAGAATCATCTAATAACCACAATGCTTCGACACAGATGTCGAGCTATTCTTCGAATCGTCCAACTAGCCTCTTTCAATTCGATCGAACGACTTCTTTCATATTCTGACAACTGCTTGTTGTGTGCACGAATCCTTCGGTGAAATATTGATACAGCCGACGTATAATAGTCGCAGTCGAATTGCAACAGAAATGTCGACCCTCAGATTTGGAAATCACTGCTTATATATGTCGCAGGGAAATGACAAAATTAGGAATTTCATCAAATCTCTAAAGGATATGATTAATTGACCGTAGATGTCAAAATAACGTCTCTTCAAGGTGATTTCCCAGATGATTTTATCGTCCCTGAACAGTTTCAAATGAAATGATTAAATGAACTAGTCATGATTTGTATTGGCAAAATGCTATACGGGGGGGGGGGACCCCTGGGGGGGTCTAGTCCTTTTACTTCTTAACCATACAGGTAGTACTATCGATTCCCTAAATATCAACCCCATATCTTTAAAAAAATGCCACCATAGGATAGATATTTTAGTGCGTAAGCAACCGAGAGGAAAGATGTTATACCACAAAATATACCAGCGTAATTTTCTAGTTATTTGTTAATTAGTTTCGAATAAATAATTTGTATTTCATTGACAATTGTTCTATTACTTACTTCTACGTTTCATAATGCATCCTATTTGTTAAATAAGTACTTTTAAACTCTTGACAATATTATTTCATCATTTCACTGAAACAGCTCAGGGATTCGTTTAAATTCCTTACTTTCATCAGGGAAATAACCTTACAGAGACGTTATTTTAACATTTACCGTCAAGTGATCATCTCCCTTAGGAATTTGATGAGATTCCTAATCTCATCATTTTCCTGCGACATATACACCGGCTGAATGTTGAGTTCCGATAAGGTGCAGTTCATACTATATTCCCTCATTAGATACCAAAATTTAATCATTTTCATGCTCGATCCAAATACTTTTTGCATATGAAATTTCGTTACAATCGGACAATTTCTTCTTGATGTGTGGATTTCTTTTTTATAGAGTTACATTTTAGCTGCGGTGTACCAAACCAATCTACCCATATGATTCAACGTGTCAGACAGTTGGACATTTTTAAAATAACTCGATTCCTGCGATAATGCATACAAAGTTAGAGAATCGAGTCAATAATATAGATTTACTGCTTTATTGCATATTAATTTGACTACACTGAAAGATATTTCTTAACATAAAAATAAGTAGCATGAAATAAAACTTTTTCTTCAACACACACAAAAAAAATTGTACATACATTATGTACTTTTAAACATTTATTAAAATAAGAAACAGGCAATATAAAACACATGATATTCAAGTCATTTATAAATAGTTGTAAATTTATCTATAAAATTATCTTTCAGATTTTTTCTTAATTTCGCAAATGCCAATCATTCTGAAGGTCCA